CTTGAGATGGAATGAATACACAGGAAAAAGGAGCACTATACAAAGAAGAAATGCCACCTGATCTTCCTGACTCAGTGGTGGCAACAAGAGCAAAGCAGAGAGAACCAGGGCAAAGCCCGCTCAAGTCTGAGGAAGGACCTAAACAGTGAGAAAGACAACTAACTGGTCTTGGTTTTGAACCTGCCAATTTCAACTGAAGTAATCAAATAAAACTTGAGAGAGTGGTTAAAGTTGAAAGTAAATACTAAAAAAAAAACCCTCCACATCAATCCTGTTAAATCAGACTCTCCAATGGTGTTCACTCACACCAGAATTACAACTGCATTTTTGCCAACAAACTTTTAATTGTTTATAACTAATTAATTTTTATTCAAAATTAATAAGAATCTTAAAATACTTTGCATGGTAAAAACACTTATTTGCATTCATGTGAAAGTAACATACTGAGTGACAAATAAGATGAGGTAGGGACCCTCCTGAAAAGTCGTTTATGCTCTCCTACTCTGGTCTCAACTGTCTAGATGGATTTTCTGCATCATTTCACATGCCTATTTTTCCCAGAAACAGTCAGGAAAAAAAAAAAAAAAAAAAAAAAAAAAAAACTCTTGATGCTTATCTACAGGTTTTTACCTGAAGCAAATTTTTACAGTCAATTTTGAAATTCCTAAAATCAAACTGAACTCCTAATCTGACTAATTTACGTATTTTGTAAAGGTCAGCTTTAGGGCATAATTTACAGAGTTGTCTACTGGCCTCAAGTTATTAGTACCAGTAGCCCAAATTTATATTATTTACATTTAAGAGAACATTCCCCCCTTTCCTATAATCCACCTTAAACATAAAGGCCCTTTTCAGAAAGAATTCCCATTTTTACACTTAAGATTTAGTGATCTAATACATGAATATCTGTGTAGTTTAAGGATTCATTCCTCATTGGTACAAGATTTATTTCCTTATCTTCCATTTTCAAATATTTATCCTAATAAAGCAATGAAGTGCATTATATAATAAAACATCAGGAATGACTTGCTATATCTAGCAAAGAGCAGCATCTTAGCTGTATGTTCTGCCAAACCCTTCCCAGCCAGGTTGCTTAGGCATCTATGCACTTGTTCACTTGGTAGAATGAAGGTACATCATTACCAAAACAGTTTCCCAAACTAATAGAGAATAAGATGTTCTTTAGTATAGGTATCAACAGGGATTCTAAACACAATTCACTTTTTTAAAGCATTACTTCATCTAATTGACTACATTTGTAAGTTTGTTCCTCTTTAGACAACAGAGAAATAACTCATAGGTGAGCCACTGTGAGCCACTGAGGCACTGAGATAGGTGTGATACTTCTGCTGTTTATTTATTTTAATGTGTTTAATATTATAAACACCAAAATTTATATTTATAAATTTATAAAATCCAAAATTTATAAACACCAAAATCTTTTCAATATCATTGTTTATGTGAACATTTGACACATGTTGAACGAGTTCTCCAAGTATGCCTCTGGTTGAAATGCAAAACCTTATCTTTTCAGGGGATGCTGCAAGCCAATTTAGAGGCATCTTTTCCAACTACGTGGGAAATATGCCAACTGCAACTAATTGGTTCTTGCAGCTTTCAAAAAATATGATCTCTAGGAACCCAATCTTACTCATTGTCTTAGACTTGCTTTCCTTTGCCTGATCAGCTTTGCCCTAAAATGCCAAGAATACAGATATGGAAAGGGTGGGGGGAATTGTTTTATTTAAGGCTATCTGCCCTACTATCACATCTTCTTCATTAGAAATAACCCATTCAGTAGTTTCTTTTGAGAAGTAAAGAAATATGGATGCCAAGGGTCCTTTAAATTACTTCTGGATACATCGATGGCTATGGCAATACTGATGAGATTCTTTTTAAAATAGAGTACCATTCTGAGCTAGGAGATATGGGAAAACATTAAACATCAGCCAATGAAGCAAGAACAGCTTAAACATATGCTGCAAGTCAAGAGCAGGTAGGCAATAAATATACTTAACACTGCGAAAAGCAAGTTTTACAATAACTGTCACCCACATGCAAAGAGTTCTGTATTACCAAAGCTATTTCCATGTCCCTAGGGGTGACCCAGAAAAACTGAGTGCTCTGACCTGGTTTTAACAATTCTCCCTCCTACTATCCTACACTGATCAAATTAGTACTCTCAAAGGTTTTCCTTATATCAAACCTAAACCCTGTTAGAAATTTGAGTTCATTTCATTTGCTTTTGAAAAGCTACGTATTAACAAGTAAAAAGAAGTTAATATTGGGATTCAAACCAGGTTTATCATGAGAGGTTTGAAAAGCAGCTCTGGAATAAAAGGCCTAAATATAGTAAATCACACTTAGATACAAGCTCTCAATAGCAGTGGCCACTTAAAACTGGAACACAGCATTCCTGTTCAAAACCTCTGATGAATAACATTCTTTATGTTACATATGAGATACTCAAATGTCATTAAAAGCTGTATGTCTACTGTCCTAAAACAAGTAAATTTAATAATCATTCACCTGAAGAAAAGGCAAAGCAAACTGACATATAAATTCAGGGCTGTTTATCTGGATCATATATAGTTTTAAACTTTATTATGATCTCATCAATTACCTACAAAAGTCTTCTATGGTATTCTATAGTACTGTAGGCTACAGATGCTAAGTTATTAAAAGCTTAAACACACACATTCAAAGCTCAAAAGAAATGTATAATTCTAGAAACTTCTTGGGCTCTATTAACCATTTGCACTTATGTCTTTTAAATCTCCCTTCATGCAATTCTGCACTCATTTTATAAACCAGTTTCCTAGTTCTTTCCATTTTGGGGTTTACCCTACTGTATGACACAAAAAAAAGACAGTACTTCATTATTTCTACTCTCCTTTTACACTTTTGAAAATATACCTGTGGACAGTTTCACTCATATAATCCTTAAAGTATACAGGCTACATGTGGCAAAAATGCAGACACTAAAAACATACATGTCCTACACAATTTGTTTTATTTTATACATATGAAAATTTGCCTGCATACATGTTTGTGTACTATACGCATTCCTGGCACCCACAGATGCCAGAAGAGAGCATTAGATCCCCTAGGACCTGAGTTATAGATGGCTATGAGCTATACAGGTGTGGAAATCAAACCTAGGTCATCTAGAAGAGTAGGCAGTGCTCCTAACTTCTGAGTCATCTTTCCAGTCCCTGTCTTACACTCTTCAGGGTTCAGTTGTTTTTTTTTTTTTTTTTTTTTTTTTTTTTTTTTTTTTTTGTGAATTCTTCTTGAGCAAGCTGGTGTCCCACATTAGTAAAGACTGATGAAAACATGAAGACAGACCATCAGAGAACTCTCTGACTTTTTGACTTTATGAGGCTGGACCAGTTCACATTCAATAGTACATCATACTCAAATGCATTAGCTTCAATAGCTTCAATACAGTCATAGAAACTTATCATGTGAACCCCTGTTTAAAGGATGAACCTATGGATATAATTAGTTCTCATAAAGGTCCTATTATATTCTTTCTACCAGAAATAAAATTTTATTTAAAAAAATATATGTATATCAAACAGAAGACCAGACTTTTTTTTTTTTTTTTTTTTGTTAGAACTACCTTTAGAAGACCAGATATTTAAGGCATATTTGAAAATCAATGCAAAGCCTTTAAAAAGGTAAACTCAACAGAATCTAATAGAAACAAAAACAAACAAAAACAAATCAAGACACCAGTCTTTTAAAAAGTAGAAAGGCCCAGATACAATTAGTAGGAAAACTAAACAGTATTACAAACAAATGCTAGAACTAGCATGGTGGCACATGCCTGTAATCCCAACACTCAGGGAGCTCTGAAGAGAACTGCTGCAAGGCTAGGACCAGCCTGGGCACATGGTGAGTTTGAGACCAGCTTAGGCCACAAAGAAAGACTATGTCCAAAAAACAGAGATAAGAACAATCAAATACCACAAGGGTATGACAAACTGAAAGAGAAATATATATTTTTAGTTGTTCACCTTACTCTGGTGCTAAGGATTTCTACAAATACTAGCTGTATCCTATAATATTACATTTAGAAATAAAGCCTGCTTCTCAAATCAACGTTTCATAATCTTAGTAGCAGAAGACTTAAAATTCATCTGGTGAGGTGAACAGTGTGCTAGTGTTGGCACGGGAGGGGATTCAATAATCAACTAGCAACCATGAGCTTTATCACCATATCTCAGTGCTGAGCCTGATGCACTCACTATTGGGGAGAGGCAACTGAGTGTTTTCCCACAGGCTGTAACTGAGTATTGGCTCCCCGCATTAGCATGTATGGTGCTTACTGAAAGTCCAAATATAAGGCTGAGGGACTTCTGTCCCAAGGCCAGTGCTGAAAGACAGCCTATCAGTTCGTGTAATATAGTTCATGTGTGACAAACCTGACCTACATTTTTCTTTCTTTCTCCCAACAGCTTGTCACTGTTGTAAGGAGCTATTTTCAAAAGGCAAAAAGAAATGACCTTTAAAATTATTTAAGCAATGTGCATTCCTGAGGCACCATTGACAGCAGTCTTATAAAGAGTAGCTAATCTTGAAAACCACCTTAAAAAGAGGGCACAGACAGCTGAGTTTTATAGGAGTAACAGCTTTCTGCAGATGATCATGGCTACGGTATACAGTCTTAGTTATGTAACGCATACATAACTAAGTTTAGTAACAAGTAGTATTAAGCATATAATGCATATTAATCTGGGGAGTAAATTGGACATTTTTAGTAGTTTACAAAAGCACCAATCATACCTTATGAGAAACTACACCTTAGTACTTTTGTTAATTTCTCACTAGATACACAATACTAAGAACAGGCCAGAATTAAAAACAGTGATGGGGTGAGGGGTAATCAAGGCAATATCTTGATGCAAATACTGGGAAATGCTCTCCAGGTGTGGCATGGACACTGTGCTTCAAAGAGCTGCCCGTGGCCCTGTTGCCTCACCACAGGTACCTACCATGCCGCTGCAGGTCATACATTTTTTTGGTTTCTTCATTCCCTAGAATTTTCCATGCCTGATCAATTTCAATGAACTTCTGCATACATTCCTCCATGGTTCCTGCTGGCACATCTGTACTTTGTTTATCTGGATGATACTGCCAATCAAAAATAAGGGCAGTGAATAGAGTTGAGAGGGGTAGGTTTAAAAAGAAAACAATCATAAACCTGAGCTTTAGTTAAGAAGATAATGAGAAGATGGAAACTAGGATGCCAAGGCAATGAGTTAACAGTGTTGGGCACAGGAGACAACTGCCAGGTTAATTAGACCACTGCAGTAGCTGCAGATCCACCAATGACATGATCTGTCACAATGTGCAAAGACAGAATTTTCTGGATAATTTGCTCATGGAATCACTGTTCTCATGGACAACTTACCTACAAAAGGCAACTAACACAAATAGAAATTGGTATGTGCTAAACAGCAGGACCTGAAAAAGGAGGAGCACAAACCTGAAGTGGGATATCCTGTATGCTGGGAATACACACTTCTTCCCAGCTTTTACTGGTTGACAAATAAGGTCGGGAGAGAACCCTCCAACTACACAAATTACACAGATGAAGCTTTCCTTATATAATAGATTTCAACACTGATAAAATTATACAACTGTAACTTAAAACACATCTAACTATAAAAACACAAGACTTCATATTCTTCTCAGCCCTGAAGTTTTCATGGTTTCTAGGCCACATTTGTAAATAACTCAATAAAACATTTTAATAAATGTTCATTAAATATCTTTCTCATATGAGCTTTCTAACTCTAAGAAATTTTTAATAATGTTTTTAATATTTATACTGTTTGGTGAAAATCAGGAAATTCTACCAGGTCATAACTAAGAAATGCTAACTGCACTGTGGGCTGCTGGGAACATCACTTACTCTACCTTTTCTCTCCTTTTCTCTTTAGTTCTCTTGTCTCTTTGATATCTACCACATCTCTCAACAAATGAGGAAAGATTAAATTTAGGACATTGCACTTAAAATAATATGTGGGTGACAATACAGATGCTCAGATGTGTAATTTTTTTCATCCTCAAGTAAATACGAAATCATGTGACAGCACTATCTAGAATCTTTCAACCAGTAAGTACTTTGAAAAGTTTTATCAAGCATACTATACAACACATTTAAATTTCAAAGATAAACCTAGTAATTTTATTATTTTCTTTTTCAAGTAATTTCAATAAAATACGCAAATAGCTGTCTGTGTCTGTATTCCATGACACATGGATGTAGATAGCTCACCAAGAAATAGCACTAACAGTCTTCCACTGACTTCTTTACTAACATCAAAAGAACACAAGATCTTACAAAGTATCTTCACTTTTCATGCAAATTGCTAAATTCAAATTTGCATAGCAAACCATGGTTATAGGAAGCTACATAGCTTTAATTCCCATTGAATCCAGGAGTTATGCAGGTTTAATTCCTTTAAAGTGTGGGCTTTAACAATTGATGCATTGTCATGGTAACTTCCCCACACTGCTGCTGATCCTTATCAGTAGAGCCAAAGGGATTCTGCTATTTGTTTGGTTAAACAGAAGAATTAGTAAACATCACATATACTAACTAGGGCAAACAAGAGAACTAAGTTTCTACTTTAGCAAACTTTTTTATGTCAAATTCATCAGTTATTAGCAGTTAGATATCCAAATTAACTGCTATAATAACTGAGGGGGAAAAAGAGGTAAGTCTTGATGGCAGTGGTGGTACATGCCTTTAATCCTAGCACTTGATAGGCAAAGGCAGGCAGATCTTTGTGAGTTCCAGGGCAGCCTGGTCTACATAGAGAGCGCCAGGACAGCCAAGACTACATACACATAGAAATAATTTCATGAGAAAAAAACAAACTACAACAACAAAAAAAAGAAAGTCTTCACTGCTTCATCTACTTCTAGAACTTACTAATGGTGTTCATAAACAATATTCCTATATCCCAAAGTTTGGGATGGTCAAGGCAAATTCCAAAGCCCAGATGTGTTAAAGCAATCTAGCTAATGCATTCCTATAACAACATGAGCAGCAAAGCTCACTCTGATCAAAGTTACTGTGTATAACAACCAAATATGTCACCAGTGCACATCTAAGACAATTTCAAAGCCAGGAATGATGGCTCCAACTTATTTTGAGTACTCAGAGAAGCTTAAGCAAGATGTATTGTCACAAGTTATAGGCTAGCTTGGGCTACAATATGAATTATAGATACCTTGACATCAATGGTGGATTCAAAACTAGACTGAACCACATAATAAGACCCTGCTTCAAAAACCAAGAAGAAATTTCTTTTTAAATTTACATGGGGAAGCATTTAATCTCAGCATATTGTAAGTATTAGATAATGCCCTAGTAACATAGTAACATCACTAGAAGCTTTTAGAGAAAAAGTAATGCAGATTAAAAGCTAGGTAATTATTAACAGACCATTACAAAAAGTCTACTTGGTAGACTGGATCATGTACCAATCTGATGAAGCAAATTCTACAAAACCAGGAATTAACTCCCGACTGCTCCAAATTGAAACACACCATTAGCATTTATTATGACTTCTATTATAGTCAAAATGAGATCCAATCTTCCTCTAACTTAGTATTTTCCTGATTATTACTGAAATAAAGATCTTCCCTTTTGAGGCTTGTACTACTAGAGTTCAACATCATTCTATAGTAGCCAATTATTGGCTACATTCCATTAAAAATGACAATAATCCCAAGAACTGGCATATGGGATTCCAGGAAGCTTCTGCACAACAAAGACAACCACATAAATAAAGAGACAGCCTACAAATGGGAAATATTAACTATAATCACAAAGCTTATTAAAACGTAGAACTATAACTATAAAACACCAAAAATCCAACAAATGGGGTTACAGAATATAGTTCTCAAAAGAAGAAAATTCAAATGGCCAATAGATAATCACCAAAGAGTTCAGCGTCATTAGCCATCTGTAAATGAAAAACAGATTCCATCTCACCCCAGCAGATTGACTGCCAACAAGAAAATGAGTAACAACAAATGCTAGTGATGATGTGGTGAAAGAGGAACCCATATTCACAACTGGAGAAAATAAAAGCTGGTGCAGCCACTGGTGAAGTCAGAGAGGTGGTTCCTCAAAAAAACAAAAGTTCTAGCTATCCTATGACCTATTGTACATCTCGGGTATATACCCAAGCCTGACAAACTAAGTTCAGTCCCCAGGACTCATATGGTGGAAGTAGAGAACTGTGGAAGGGATGAGCATGCACATACATGAATAAACTCTCTCTCTCTATCTCTCTCTCAAAATATAATAAAAAGAAAATATAGGAATTATAGAAAGAAGAAAAATATGTCACTGGGGTGCTGAAATCCTCATTTTGTTTTGACAGCAATTCTACAACAAAATGAAAAGTCAAAAAATAATATTGCCTATGATAGTCTGTAATGACAACCAAATATATATCCAATTCAAATCCTTAGCTCTTGTTATTACTACTTAATATGTTCATTGATGAAAGATCAATGTCCACTTTCTCTATACTGGTAAATTAATAGAATCTAGAAAGATTTTTAAAAAAGTAGACCAACTGATTATTGTATTTATAATTCAAGATTTACTTTAAAACTATAGCAACTAAGACTATAGTCTTGGACTCATACTGTGATACAAAAAGATCAGTGGAACAGAATAAAATCTAGAAAAAGACCATCCACATGGTCAAGTGACTCTGCAAAGATGTAGCAATGAAGAAAGCAAGTATTTCAGTAACAAATACCTGAGATAAATCAGCTTACACAGAGAAAAGATTTGTTTTGGCTCACATTTTAGAGATTGCAGTCCATGGTCAGCTGGACCTATTACTTGGGGTCTGTAGTAGCAGATTTTTATCATGACCTGAGCATGTATTAAGAGAGGCTTGTTTATCTCTTGCTTATTTCACTATTCTTAAATGTCTTGACAGCAACAACTTTCCAGAAATTTCCTCACATTTGGGGGAATTTTTCATTTACAAAAGGAAGAACGTATATTGTTCAATTCCTGTGCTACCTCAGAATAAGAAACATTAGCACAAATAGGAAACTTACTATACAAATAGAGGATCCTTCAATACACTACAAAAGATTAAAAAGACAGTGTTGTAGTCTTATACAGAAATGTTCATTGTTTGCTTTCTGACTGATAATTAACACTTTCTTGTAAAATCTCCAATCTTTTTAGTCTTGGCAACAGGTTGTTGGGCATGGAATATTTTGTTTGAACTTAGATTGTCTCCACATACGAACTTGTTTCTCGGTAGCTAAGTCAGGAGTGACTGTCACAATATCACCCCAGTGCTGATTGGAATGTTGTCCTCAGATCTGCAAAATTAATATGGTCTGAGATCTTGAGAGAAATGCCACTTCTTGAGGCCCATCACAAGCCTTCAGAGAACTCCACCATCTTACCACACTCCCCAGGCTGTGTGTGTGCCCATCACAACCCTTCAGAGAAATCCACAGTCTCTAGGCTTTGATAGTGTCCACTGCAAACCTCAGGAGAACTCCAGGTACACCACACTCCCCAGGCTGAGAGTGTGCCCCATCGTAAACCTGAGAACTCCAGTGTGGTGATACCTTGTTTGTACTCTAAAAAATAAAGCTTGCCTGGAAAATCAGAGGGCAGAGATAGCCACTAGTTAACCATAGAGGTCTGGAGGTCAGTACAAACAGACAGGAAGTGAGAGGGCTGGGCGAACAGAGGAAAATAAGGCGGGAGGAGACAGAAACTTAGTCTCTTTTCATTCTGAAGATTTTGTAAAGAGCTCTCGTGGCTGGCTGCTGTTTCTCTGGTCTTTCAACTTTCACCGACCCCTCCACCCCCACCCCCAATCTCTGACTCTGGGTTTTTATTATTAACAACAATTAGAACTCATGCTACATCTGGCACCAAACTTTTGGGACATGAATTCACAACAAAGCCACTTGCCTGTGGCTTGGCAGCCACTAGCACAGTCCGGGCTACATACACATGGGGCTCCTGCTAGAGTCACTGCCTCACCAGCTAGGCTTTTCTCCTTTTTTCCCTGAGCCTCTGAGAGAGCTTGGGGTTTTTTTTGTTGCAGCCTCTAAGCAGAACC